CCTCTCAGAAGTTGACTTTCTTGCCTCTCCTCTGGTTCTGGGCAACTTTCTTGTCTAAATTTGACTGCGGCCTCATGTTGTTATGTGTCTCTCTCTTGGTGAGGTGATTCGCACTTTTTACTCACACTGACTGATGCCCCTGCTGCTCTCAGGGCCCGCTGCACACACCCGCAGGAGGCCGGACGGGTGCGGGGAGGGGAGGGTGCCTGGGTCCGCAGAGGGTCCTAGCCCTGCTGGCTGGACCGCTGGCCCCACCTGTGTCATAGAAAAGCGCTGAGTTTTGACCTAAACTACACGTGAGGGTCCTGTGCACTGCATTGGGGGTCCAAAAGTACAGCTGGGTGTGAAGCTTACAAAGCTTCCTCCCCCCACAGAGAGCTCTGTGGGGTTGGCAGTACTCCCTGCAGCTCAGCCACAGCCCGGCACCCCTGTCTCAGTCAAGAGTGAATCCCATTGACTCTGCCAGTCACCTCGGACACCCGCAGCCACAGAGAGGGCCAGGAGTCACAAGGTAGAACATTCAACCTGCCCGTCCCTAAGCTCTCTGAAGCCTTGGCTTCTACCTCTGAACAGTGGGGATGAGAGTACCCACTACGGAAGGCTGCGGAGAGAATAAAGCACATTTGTTTATAAAGTTCTTCACAGCACATTGTAGATGCTCAGTAAAAGGCGCTGGTGTAACTCCGCGTTCTGATGCAGATTCCAGGCCGACTCCATGTCCCCGCCTACTCTGTCCCTGCTCCTTGCTCCTTCTGCTCTAGAGTTTGGGGAAAGGTGAGGGAGAGGAAGGATGGATGGTCAGTCACCTGAACCATAACATGTCACAATCTTGCGAGGGCCTGTTGGTGAGAAAAGAAACATCATCACTCTTAAGTCACTGTCCTGATTCCTAACTGACTCTCCATTAGCAGAGGACCTCAAGATAGAGAGATGTGACATCCTGGGCAGAGCACCCACCACCTCAGCAGCTGAACTCACAGGTAACGCAGGAGATGACATTGTCCACTCTGCCACCTACCAGCTGAGAATTACGACACCTTAACCTCCTCAGTCTTGGTTTCCTCCTGTGTTGCAAGGACACTGGTCCACTCCCCTCCCAGGGTGACGTGGACATTGGGAGACCTTCCTCCTTTTAGGCCCTTGCTTTATGCCTCAGACTTTCTCCCCACACTCACTTGCTGCTGTCGTTACTGGACTTGAAGTTCCTGCCCCGTCATTTATCGAAGGCCATGGCTTCTGGCTTGCAGCCGTCCTCCCCCACCCCTCGCCCCGCCCGCCCCGCCCCGGACCCTCTGCCATCCTCCTGGTTGACATCACCATCCACGCAGACGGTGACCCAGCCAGCACCCTGACTCCCCAGTTCTCTGAGTACCCCCCTTCCAGCGGCATTGCCCCCTACGCCACCTCAGCCATCTCCCCCCACATCCTACTCTGGATTTTTCATCACTTGTAATTGCTCCCCCTCCAAAGAGACCATCTCAACCGTCCCACCCCTGACAGGCTGTCTTCCTGCCAGCTTCACGCTTCCACTATTCCCACCATCATCGCTCTTTTTCCTCGCCCGTCCGTGGTCTTCTGCTTCCTCCCAGCTCATCCATCCTGTCCTGCCTTGACTTCTCTCCCACATCCACCTTATAGTCCATCATTCGAGAACATTTTTGCTAGAATCCTGAGTCCCTTTGTTCCTCATCTTTGATCACCACCTCTGGCATCACCTCAGTCCTGCATGACACCAGCCACACAATGTCCCTGCATCTGTCCCCAAGCAGCCAAGCGCTATGGTGGCGGTAGGAGCAGCAGAGAACAGGGCAAACTGGTTTCCCGTAAAGTCGTGATCTCCAGCCATTCAACGTCTTCATTCCTCCCAGAAATCCTCTTAGCATCCCTGAACAGCTTCTTCCCGCCTTCCGCTTTCCATAATTATTTCAAACTTTTTCCATTTTCCTCACACCTCCAAAACCCCTCCAAAACCCCTCCCATTCCCAACTCTCAGCAGAGTCCCTGCTTCCTACTTGTCCAAGAAGATAACAGTTACCACACAGAAAGTCTCTCAGCTTTCGACACCAAGCGGAGAAACTGTGGACTCCACACGCGCCCTCCTTCTCCCCATCCTCGCTCCAGTGCTGGGTTCCCCCTCCCGTGTGCCCCCGTCCTCTGAGGAATTCTCCTGCATTGACTAGCCCTTCCTCTCAACGGAGTCCTCTGTGCCTTAAATACAGTCAGCTTTCTCCCATAATTAGAAAATAAGATGCAGGGGGATGGGGAGAGGAGAAGAGAAAGGAAAAGAAGAGAGGAGAGAAAAACCCTCACTTTGTCCTCATTCCCCTCCAGCAATCACCCCTTTCCCCCTCGTTACAGCCTACCTCCTCAAAACAGCTGCTGTATGTACTACACTGCCTTCATCTCCCTACTTCCCATCATCCATCCATCCCTGCCTGGATTTCCGTCCCTCTCCACTAACGGTACCCATTGTTGCACGTCTGCGTTTTAACCTGCATCGTACCTGCCCTAGCGGCAGCACCACCAGCGCTCACCATCCCTCCTCACCACTCTCCTTCCTCACTGCAGGGACACCTGAAGGCTTCCTCCTGCCTTCTGGCCTCTATTCTTTACTGTCCTCTGCAGACTCTTCCTTCGCTGCTGGTCCGTGAAAGTGTGGAGTCCTGGGTCTTCTTGCTCTCTACCCTTTTCCCTGCCTACTTTCATTCATACCTGTGACATCAACTACCAAGTACAAATAACACACAAATCTTTCACCCAGGTCCATCAATGCACCCGTCATTTAATGTCAGCCCTGAGATATCCCAAAGGAACCCTTCACTCAACAGGTCTTCAAACTCATGGTCTCCCTGACCCTTCTGGAATCCTGGTTCTTTTCCACTGTACCCCACGTTTCATCAGGCCTCCAGAAACCTCCTTCTCCCTCACTCCTCATATCCAACCCATAACTCAGTCCTGAGGATTTTATTTCCTAAATTTCTCTCAACCCCATCCAATCTTCTCTACCTCCATCATGCCCACCTACCCTGGTCCAAGCTAGTTCTAATGCCATGGTTTCCTAACTGGTATACGCCATGTGACTGTGGACCATTCCCAAGTCCTTGCTAGGCCACACTGCAGCCACAGTGTCTTTGCAAACGTATCTAATTATAAAACACATCATTTTCCTCTCCTTAACCTGTTTATCCACTGCTCTTAGGGTGAACATAGCATGGTGTTCAAGAACTTGTAGCTTTTGACACTCGAGTCAGCTATGTAATGAGTTCTGGGTCATACTGCCTAAATTCATAGCCTGACTTCATCACTTATTGTCAGCATGACCCTCGGCAAGTTACTTTCTGAATCGTCCTGCATCTCAGTTTCCACACCTATAAGATGAGTAATAACGGTACTACCTCATATAGCAGTTGCGAGAATTAAATGCATTCAGCACTTAGTGCCTACGTGTTAGATCTTCCCATCGTTTGCCTCTCCAGCCCGTTCCTTGCCCCGCTCCCTCTCATCTCTGTTTAGCCACGTTGGGTGTTCTTCAGGGCCTTATTCTCACCATGTTCTCTCTCTCCTCAGGGCCTTTGCACGTGCTATTCCCATTGGAACGCTTTTCTTTCCCTCTTCAGCTATTCGTTGCCTGCTTGTGCAGCCTTCAGTTCACAACTCAAGTGTAACTTCCTTGAGTTCCCTGACTGGTACTAGACATTGTTAGGATTTTACGTTTATGTTGTGATGAGAATAATCTCTCTCCTAAAGACCATGGATTCCACGAGAGCAGAAACTGTGTTTATTTTAACACCTTTGTAACTCCAGCATCTAGAAAGGTGTCTGACAAATAATAAATTCTCAATGAATATTTTCTAATAACTGAAAGAAGAATGAAAGAGCTCCAAGGCCTATATGAACGCGTAATAAACACTCTTGTAATCTGACAAGAGATTTCTCACTTAAGGGATTCTAAAAAGTCTCCCCCTGCCCTTAAATCCTTCCCCTGCTGCCAACCACAGTGCCTGAAAATTCTCCAGTTAGAGTTTCTATCAAGAAACACCAAATTTCCCATCATTAGATGAGGATGTTCATTAGTAGACACATTAGCAAAAAGTTTAGGAACTGAGGCCCACAGAGCGGGAGGGATGGGATCTAATGTCACACAATGGTAGAGTCAGAACTAGAACTCAGGTCCCTTTTACAACTAGCCCAGGGCTCTTTGCCCTGCCCATCACAGTTCACTCGCTCACTCATTTGATTAGAATTAAGCACCACTTTGGGTAAGAGGAGGACGCAAACATACAGAAATGACTGATGCAGAACAGTTGAGGTCCACGCTCTCATGGAAGGGCTTGTACCATGCTGTGGGAGCCCACAGGAGAAAGCAGTCAATTCTGGACTAAATCAGGGCCTGCTTCATGGAGGAGGTGGTGATAACTGAAATGACAGAGACCTGGATGGTGGCGGCATGAAGACCCTCAGTCTGGCTCTGTCATGGAACAAGCCAGGAGGAGTCACTCATGCTCCAGATGGGAACACTGAGATATAGTCTGGGAGAAGCCAGTCGGGGACACAGCCAAGGTTAATACAGAGGATAGAGCTTCAAGGGCATGGGAGTGGAGGCTGGCTAGGGATTAGAAACGCAGGTTTTATGCCTGTCCGAGCCCTGACCTTGCTCCTGAGCAGTGCTGTTTCTCATCAGCCTCTGTTCCCTCTGGGGGTCGCAGGGCCAGGCAGAGACAGGGCTGCTGGCGTCACTGGGCACAGCATTGTGTTCCCACAGCCTTTCTTCCTCTAGCTCCTGGACTATGTGCTGGAAACCTGGTCACCCTTCACCCACCTAGTTCAGTCCCATGGCGGGGGCGTTTACTACTGGCTGCCCTGCCATCTGCCCCAGGGTAATAAATCAGGGCAGAGCCAAACTGCCACCATCTCGCGTGGGGAGCGTATAAAAGGAGAAGAGATCTGAGAGCCACAAGCCTTCAGTGGATCCCAGAGAGAGCCAGGGACCCCTGGGAAGCATGGACCGATGGAGCAGAATGCCTTGCTGGGGACTCCTGCTGGTGCTCTGGGGCTCCTGTACCTTTGGTCTGCCTGCGGACATTGGCGCCCTCAGACGGTAACTCGGGCTAGAGAAGGTGGCAGGGGTGCAGGGGTTCTCATCAAACACTTCTGGCTTTCAGATATGTGCTGTCGCCTGGTCCTCATGACCAGCTGGGCAGGGAGGCATGGTCCCATTCAGAGAGATCAGGTGACTCGCCCAATGTCACATAGCCAGTAGTGGCAACCAGTCAAGCGTGGAAGCCATGTCTTTTGATCCCTGCTCAGAGCCTTTGCTTCCTGCACAGATCACCATGCTAGGCACTGTGGAGGAACTCAGAGATGATTGTGACATGCTCCCTGCCCTCAAGGAGCTCATGGCCTAATTATTAAGAAGCGTGTGGTATGGTTAAGTCTACTAGGGAATAAGCATAATACAGTGCTTAAATTCAAGGCTTTTAGAGCTGAACTGTCTTGGTTTAAATTCTGCTCCACTAACAGAACTAACTAGCTTTGGAACCAGAGGCAAGTTACTTAACTTCTCTAGGTCTCAGTTTACCATTTTAAAACAGGGTTAGGTTAATAACAGCACCTACTTCACTGAGCTGCTTTGAAGATTAAATGAAATAACAAAAGTAAAGTCCTTAGCATGATGTTGTCAAAACCCAGCAGTCATAGTTCTACAGGGTAGGTTGTCACAAAAGTCAAAAGAAAGGCTTAAGGAAGCCCAAAGGAGAGAGAAGAAAGACCCGATTCACATCCATATGCGATGCCAGGCCCTGCGGAAACAAGCAACTCATTAAGGCTGCAGAGGGGAGACACAGGGTGGGACAGAGTGGGACAGGGACTCGTGGAGAAAGGGGTTTCTGTTTGGGGAGTGCGGATGGATCAGAGGACCTGCAGGTGAGAGGGCAGGTTTTGCGACCAGTCATAGTTGCTAAGCCTGTCAAATGCTTGGGGTTTCACAGGATCTTTTCACATATTTCATCTCATGTCATCCTCCCAATCCCACTTTACAGATGAGGACACTGAGACTCTGGGAGGTCACATGGAGAGGCTGAGCCTCAACACACACTGGGCCTTTTGTTTCCAAAGCCTCTTTTTCTGCTCCAAGGCTCCCAGAAAAGTAACTGCTGGTTTGGGGGTGTGAGGTGAGAAGCTGGGGGCATCCCAGCAGCACATGCCTGGATGCAGCCCCCAGCCCCAGGGGAAAGGCAGAGGGAGGTAAAAACAATCTTGTTCTCTTCAAAAAGTGAAGAGTGGGATGGGGCCAGGACTGGATAGGAAGTCAGGAATTTGGAACACAGCTGTAAGGATTTTGCTACCTGCTATGGGCAAAGCGTCATGCCAGACACTTTGGGAGATGTGAAGGAAGGAGCCCTTCTCAAGGTTCTTTCATGGCTTTTTACATACACAATTTACACTTATTGAGCAATAGGCAGCTCATTTAATCTGTGCAGTGACTCTCTGAGGTAGGTACTACTATTAAGTCCATTTTTAGAGAGGACTTCATGGGGTCTCAGACAAGGCCCAGAAAAGCTAGGTAAGATGTTCAGAATCACACAGGGAGTACGGGATTCCAGCATGTCCCCACACCACCATGCCCTCACCGCCGGACAGAACCACCTCTGCGAGCATTCAGTTGTGTAGTGCTGGCTGTGAGCACCCAGGAAGCACGAAGCAGGAACCTAAGCAAAGGTGAGGTCAGTGTGAACCGGAGTTCATGCACAAGTGTCCTGGCGGCGGGGGTGCATGCTGGGCTTTGAAGGAGGAATGACTGTGAGAGAGGGGGCGGGGAAGAAAGGGACTTTCTGAGAGGAAAATGGTAATAGAAAAGGTCCAGAGCAGAGGCTGTTAAGAGTAAATAGTGGAAAATACACCCTCTTCGGGGTCTAGACTCATCTGCTCCTCCGTTTTCCCATCTGTAAAATGGGAATAATAAAATTACCCACCTCACGGGATGGCTGAGAATTGAATAAGATTATAATTGCAAAAATACTTTTTGAATAGTAAACTGTGTTATGAATGTGACGTCATGTCCATTAAAATATTACACTGACAGGCAAATGAAATATCAAAATGGTATTCGTATTCACGGGCACAATGGGGTACATAGAATGCAGGGGTGTGAGAAGGAAAGGGGAGTGCAAGAGCAGGGGGACTGGCAGAAAGAGGGACCCTCCCCTCACCCCTCCAACAGCCAGGGACATCTTCCAGGCAAACAGCCTCCTTATCAGAATATGGGGCACCCTACGTGGAAATAAGGCCAAACACCCTGCTTGACTCTTTGTTCCACCACTTCCACCACGTCACCCCTGGGAACCTCCATTTCCTCATCATAAAGTGAGGACGACGCTAGTTTGCAGAGTTGTTACGTGGGGACGCGGCAGCTGAGTATGCCGTGAGTTTCCCAAATCTCTAATTCTGCCTCCCAAAGGTGGTAGGGAGGTGTCAGGACAAGAAGCTGAGGGGCTGAGATTAGGCTCAGGAAGGCACATCTATCTTTCCAAGGACAGGGCACACAGGCACTCTGGGGATGCCAGCCTCTTTCAATGCCCCACCCTTCAGTTGGTCCACTCCACCCCACAGCCCTGGATGGGCGCCTGCCCCAGGCATCCTGGAGCCCTGCAGGCTGCTTCAGGAGTCTGCTGCCACCTACAGGTCTCATGTGGCATTGCCTCCTCCTGTCCAGCCTTGAGGGGAGCACACCCAGCCTTGAGGGGAGCACTCCCAGCCTTCCTCTCCTTAGAGGAAGATGTTGCATGTTTCCTCCTCTGTCTACACCCTGATGGAGCTCCTTAAAGGCAGCAATGACCTTTATCTTTATATCTCTGGTCCCCAGCTTGGTGCAGGCACAGAGGAGGTGTTCAACATGTGAGTATGGAATGAATGAATAAATGAATGAATGAACGATCAAATGAACAAATGGCCTTGCAGTGATCAAAATTAGACAAGAGGAAGGTTGAGGGTTATTTAATACCAGTGCAGGTGACTCACGGAGGTTTCTGAATTCTCCTTCACAAGCCTAAGAGCACAAGAGTGATTCTTAGATACCCCAGCCAAGGTTAGCGGTTGTGGTCCTAGATGCTCCAGACTACATTACAGAGGAGTACAGAGCTCTTCTTTTTTCTTTCTTCGCTCTGGGCCAGGATCTTCCTCAAGAAGATGCCCTCGGTCCGAGAAAGCCTGAAGGAGCGCGGCGTGGACGTGGCCAGGCTCCGGGCTGATGGAAGCCAGTTCCCCAAGAGACTCTCCTTCAGCAACAGCACCTCGCCCGTGGTTCTCACCAACTACCTGGATGTGAGTGCCTGGGCCCTCGCTCCTCCAGCAGCCTTTTTCTCTTAGGCCTAAGGCTTTCTTGGCTCTTTCCACTTGACTGAGTTGCTGAGGAGCACTAAACACCCTACCTAATTCCCCTTTTACAGCTGAAAAGCCTGTAAGCTTTCAGGCTGAGGTACAGAGGGCAGGAAAGAGCTCAGAGGAAGGATTAGGTTTGGAACTTGGGAATCCAGGGTCTAGGCCTCAAGCCCAGGCGTCACTGGGGAGCAGGAGGTGTGTGTGGTTCTGAGGTGCCCCAGCCAAAGGGGCAGATGCAAGCTTTTGGGATCAGGCTCAGTGCAGCTTGACTGCTTTACTGAGTCAGTGGCTCAAGGGGTGGGGAACCTTCCTACTTCATCTCCAGTATTTTTATTTTGCCCTCTTGTCTTACTCCTTGGGAAATCATAAGACAATGCTAAGCCTCCCACCTGGGCCCTGCTGGAAAATGGAAACCCGCAGAAGGTGTATGATTTGCCTAACAACACCCCGAGTGCCAAGGGGGGTATTAGGCGAGACTCCAAGGCCCAAGGCTCCCCAAGCCCTCCAGCTGCCTCTTTCACCCCTATAGACTCAGTACTATGGCGAGATTGGCATTGGCACCCCACCCCAGACCTTCAAAGTCATCTTTGACACAGGATCGGCCAACCTCTGGGTACCTTCCACCAAGTGCAGCCCTCTCTACACAGCCTGTGGTGAGCCCCTAGTCCTGTGGCACCTCTCCCCAAGCCCCTGCCTGCCCGCTTGGGCAGTCTTGCCTCACGCCCAGCTAAATCTCTCCTACTGCCATTTGAGCTGTTTCCTCTCTGCCTCTGCTCCCATTGCCCCTAAGAGGAGAGGGAAACGTCCCCCACATTCCTGATGTGGCCATCAAGGTGAGATAGCAAGCTTCAGGAGCCCTCGGTCAACCCAGAAGGCCATTCCTCACCGTTCCAGAGATTGAGGACTGAAGTCTCAGACCCTCCAGGCACATGGGCTCTTCCATCCCTACCCTTAGTCAACAACCTCTTCTTGGGTGCTTACTGTGACCAGAATCTTCCCCCACCTCAGTGTTAAAAATTACTTTAAAATGTTTCATTTGAGACAAAATTTTCAGATATGGACACATAACAGGGGCTCAAGAAACACAGTCCTTGATAGATGACACACGTTTTTCCAAGCCTCTGACTGACCTCAGAGCCACCCCACGCCTGCATCTAAATCCTTCAACCACACAGGCCACACCCCCATGCACCTGCCTCCAAGGCCCGCTGCCTGGGCCTCTCTTGGACAGACCTGAGCCTATGTCCCTCTGCTAGAGATTCACAGCCTTTACGACTCCTTGGAATCCTCCAGCTACATGGAGAATGGGACGGAATTCACCATCCACTATGGATCCGGGAAGGTCAAAGGCTTCCTGAGCCAAGACACGGTGACTGTAAGTCAACAGATCCCCTGCCTTTCTTGTCTCCAGAACTGTCCTGCCACTCTAGGGCCCATACCTGGGGAAGGTGCCATGCAGCCCATGTGGAGCGGGGGACAAGCTCTGCCGCCAGACAGAGCAAACGCGAGTTCCTGGCTCAACAATGGGTGATTTATAGAGGCTTTTGCATTTAACTCACACGCAGAGTTTGTCTGAGCCCCACAGCCTCCAAAAAAGTAACCTGCCTGAGATCACCCAGCTCTGACTAGGCTCTTCACCAGACCCTAGACTGAAATCAGGGTCAGAGTCAGGATCAGTGATATTGTTGACACTGTGGTCAGGGTTAGTTTTAGGGTCAGGCATAGGTTTTAAGGTCATAGTTAAAGTTTGAGTTTAGGACTAGGGATAGGGCCTGGTTTTGTTTTCCATTTGGCCTGTGTCTGATCCTGTCCCCATTCTGGGGTTTCTCCAGCCCTTGCTCTGTCAGAGTCACAGGAGGGCTACTCATGGAACCTGGAAGGAAATCAGTACAAGCCCTCCCCTTGTCTGTGAAATCAGGGGGAAAAAGAGCATGCACGTGCTGCAGAAACCCTTATCCTATAAAGGGGGTGGGGGCCTGAGATCCAGTCCTGCTGAGGTGAAAGCTGGGCCATCGGGCTGGGGTGTGGGCGCGCCTGGCGTCTCTTCTATTATGGCTTGGCAGTACTGCCGTCTCAGTCTCTGCCCCTTCCAGTCCCTGGGCAACCCCAGTTCTCTCTGGACTCCACTGCCTGCCTAGATGCAGATTAGGAGAGATATGTGTGGGGAATGATGAAATGATTGCTATACCTTGAACCGTTTGCATCCCTGGGGCCCCTCGTGTGGAAGCCCGGAATAGACCCTGGCCAGGGATGGGCAGTGGGCTTGGCCTCCTCTGATCTTTCCTCCCACAGGTGGGCGGAATCACAGTGACACAGACGTTTGGAGAGGTCACAGAGCTGCCCCTGATACCCTTCATGCTGGCCAAGTTTGATGGGGTTCTGGGCATGGGCTTCCCCGCACAGGCCGTTGGAGGAGTCACCCCCGTCTTTGACCACATTCTCTCCCAGAAGGTGCTAAAGGAGGACGTCTTCTCTGTCTACTACAGTAGGTGGGCCTGGGACTCCAGGAGCCGCGGCAGGGGAGGGGAAAGAGGCAAGAGAGCTGAGAGAGTAAGAGGAGAGTTTGGAGCAAGATTTTAATGTGTCCATGATTACGTGGTATTCAAATTCAGAGCTGCGCTATCCAATATAAAAGCTAACATTTAAATTTAAATTAATTAAAATTTAATAAAATTAGGTATTCAATTCCTTAGTCACATTAGCCGCATTTCAAGAGGTCAGCAGCCACACTGGCTAGCAGCTACCATATTGGATAATACAGACATAGAACATGTCCGCCGATGCAGAATGTTCTGTTAGACAGCACTGCTCTAGAACAAGAGGAGAATGTGGAGTGGGAGGCATGCTGTGACCTGGGGACCTTCCCTGTGAGGGCCAATGGCCCCTCTCACAAAGAGACAGCTGTCGTCGCTTATTCATTAATTCCTTATTTGCTTATTCATTGATTCGACAAATATTAGGCCTATGTGCCAAGCACTGTGAGAGGCGCTGAGAGTAGAGCCATGAACACAATATACAAGACAGAGTCCTGCCCTCACAGAGCCTACAGTCTGGCAGGGTGGACAAGAAACATGACAATGTGATGAGCAGGTAACACAGGGCCAAAACTGAAGAAACTTTTCAACTCTAGGCTGAGCTTATGTGCAGTGTAGCTGGACTTCGGGAAGCTGTTGGGTTTAGAAAGACAGTATGAGCTGGAAACAAGAATCGTGAGAGTAAGAACATGAGGCCAGTGGCAGTGGGGACAGAGAGGAGGGTCGGACTCCAAAGAAATCTCAGAAGTAAAACAGAGAAAAGTGTCCGGTTTGGTAAGAGAAAGGAAAGCACTGAGAAAAGGCCATCAAGTGGCTCTGCAGCCAGGTCAGACTGGGAAAGAGCTGCTTTAGAGGTGGAGTAAGCCCAGAGGGCGAGCAGTTAAGAGGTGAGTGTAGATGTCAGGACCAGAAGGGCAGATGTAGGCTGCCTTGAGAAATTCAACAGGGAAGGGAATGTCAGGTGGGGGTGCAGGCAAAGATGAAGAGAAAAGCAGAGAAAAGAAGGGTGGGTGTTTTTAAATGCTAGAGGATTCCTGAGCATGCTTGCAGGTGGATGGAAGGCGATGGAAAGCGAGAGATTGAAAATGTGGACTAAAGAGATAATAATGGAAGGCACAGGAGCCTGAAGGCCATGGAAGGGAGGATCCAGTAAAGGGAAGAAGGCGAGCTTTGTTGATGGAGGAAACTTTCAAAAACATCTTTAAGTATTGGGGGAGGGCCACTGGGTACTGGATTTGTACAAATGCATGTGCATAGCTACCTACACACCTGTGCACACATGTGCGTGTACACATGACTCTTGTTAGGAAACCCTATCTCTCACACACATACACACGCACGCACACGCACGCACGCACGCACGCACACTGGAAAGCAGCCCTAAGGTGGGCCCTGAGCTGTGGGGGGGCTCTGTGCCTCATGGAAAAGAGAAATGCAAGGGGGATCAGCTTCAGACTGCGCCCCAAGAGCACTGGCTCCAGTCCCCCTATAACCCACTCACTGCCTAGGTGACTTTAGGCAGGTGACTTCACCTCTTGGTGACTCCATTGCCCAAGGGGTAAAAGAATGCAAAATACCCACCCTGGCTGGTGAGGCTCTCCAGAAACAAAGGCTTCCTTTCTGCTGTGTCTCTCTCTGCAGAAATTCCAAGTAAGGAGATGAAACCCCCCACACGGCCCGGACTTTCCAGAGTACCTGGCCCAGAATCACACCCACCACCTGCCCAAAATTCACCTCACAAGCCCAGGCTCCGCTGGATGCTGACGTTCTCCGCTCTGCCCCTGCTCTCCTCATGTCCCGTCTACCCCCACCCAATAGCTCCCCAAAGTCCCCTCCCATGTACCTGCTTAACCCACAGCAACCCAAACCCAAGTGGGGGGGGGCAATTTGCATTGTGTGCATTCTACTGGCTGTCCTGGTGCCCATTCCTTTTCTGTGACCTCACTTGAGATGCTTTATTGGGTGCAGCTGGACTAACCTGGAACCACCACTGCCTGGGATGGGGGAGGGGCAAGAAAGGTGGCGGCATGGGCTGCAGCTTCCAAGCCTCACCATCCCTGCCTTCCTCTGCCCCAACCTGCACCGGGGCCTAACTTCCCCCATTGCTGGGGCCACTGGGTCTCCAAGAGCCTCTGATCTTTCCTTTAGGAATTCCCACTTGCTGGGGGGAGAGATTGTGCTGGGAGGCAGCGATCCCCAGTATTACCAAGGCAATTTCCACTACGTGAGCATCAGCAAGACTGGCTCCTGGCAGATCAAAATGAAAGGGTCAGACATCTTCAACCCTGCTGCTGGGGGTGGGGCGGGCAAGGGCAAGGCTTCCGCATTGCTCTCTCTCCAATGCAGCCACTTCTTAAGGCACAGACAACATCTGCTCTCTGCCTGCTCTGTCCAGGGCTAGAGAACACTGAGATGTGAGGGACAGAGGAGAGGGGACCTACTGAGAGGAGGTGGAGGGTCACTAAGCACATGCTGAGGGAGGGGTCAGCACCTTTCCTCCTCCACCTCCTACCTTATGCACCCCTCACTGCATCACCGGACCACCAGCATGGCCTCCCGTCACCCACCCTCACTCAGGAAAGCCGTGCAGCCTGGTAGCCCCCCTTCAGCCTTCTGTCTGATGTGGCCTCTCCCAGGGTGTCTGTGAGGTCGGCCACCTTGCTCTGTGAGGAGGGCTGCATGGTGGTGGTGGATACTGGCGCCTCCTACATCTCAGGTCCCACCAGCTCCCTGAGGCTGCTCATGGAGACCCTGGGCGCCAAGGAGCTGAGTACTGATGAAGTAAGAAGCTGGAGGGGCGGTGCCAGGGGTGGGGGAGCGCCACCTGGTCCAGGGCCCCAAGTCACCCCGGCAGCATTAGGTCCCAAATGAGGCCCCTCATGGGCCCTCACCTCCTCACCTCTTACTCTCTTCACGTGTGGCTAGGTCTCCCCTGGGGGAGTGGGGGCAGGCCACTAGCACAGAATGGTGTCTACTGGGAGATCTCCAATACTCAAAGGGGCTCCCGTTGCCCTCCCCCCAGTATGTTGTGAACTGTAACCAGGTGCCCACACTCCCTGACATCTCCTTCCACCTCGGAGGCAGAGCCTACACACTCACCAGTGCGGACTACGTATTACAGGTGAGGTTCCAGTCTGCCCCTCAGTGACAGGCAGGAAGGGGGGACAGGGGCCCTCAACAAGTCACAGTGACAGATTACTAGGCCAGAAGTTCTTAAACTTGGCTGTTAGTCATCTGAGAGCTTTTAAGAATCCCAACAGCAAGCCACATCCCCTACCTACTAAACCCCTGGGGGTGGCACTTGGGCATCAATGTTTTCAAAATTCCCCAGGTGATTCCAATGTGCAAGTATAGGAATTGCTCTAATAGGCAGGCACCTTTTCTTTTTCTCATCAAATGCTCCCAGTAATGCTACACTTCTGTATTCTTATCCCCTTCTTATACCCAGTAGACCTAAAGATATTAAATAACTTGACTAGGATCAGAACCTCTGCCAGACAGTAGGTCGTGAAGGTAGCACTGTGCCTGCTGCATTGTGTACTCAGTGTTTAGCACAGTGCCTGCTTCCAGGAGGGGTGCGATCTCTGATGGGTTGAAAGGGTCGTTGCCACAGAGGTGCAGTGTGGATGGGGGAGAGGAGGAAGGACATTGCTGAGAACAGCCCCTGGCGTCGGGCAAGGTGAGGGCAGAATGGTCATGTCCTGGGCGGTGGGGAAACCCTCATGCTTCCTGCCAGGACCCCTACAGTAACGATGACCTGTGCACACTGGCCCTCCACGGTCTGGACGTCCCACCACCCACTGGGCCTGTCTGGGTCCTGGGTGCCAGCTTCATCCGCAAGTTCTACACAGAGTTTGATCGGCGTAACAACCGCATTGGCTTTGCCTTGGCCCACTGAGGCCCTCTGCTGCCCTGGCGGTCTGTCCGCAGTCCTAGTCCGGAGTTGGAACCCTCTCTGGTAATGTCCCTGCTTATGCTTGTGTCCTCATGTTGGGGCGCAAGGCAAGGAGCTCCTGCTGGACGCTTGCCCTGTCCCAACACTGGCTCTTCCCTGCATTGGGGACAAACAGAATAAAGACTTCATGTTCACAGCCCTGTTGCACCTGAGTCCACTAGGGTTTGAAACAGAGGGAGGGGCAGCTGCATGGTCATGCGCAGACAGGAAAGTGGCACAGAATGACAAACATACTCACCGGGTGTCTGCAGCGCTCAAATGGAGTTATTTACACAACCTTGGGTGGGAAGTTTGCAGAGAGTCAGCCCCTTGCCCTCTGCAGTCCCTCAAGGACCAAGACTAATGCTGGAGCAGTAGGCTGTGGATCAGAAAAATGCTCCCAGCTCATGGAGGCCAGCCACAAGCTCAGGCTCTGCACTGCTGAGCTAGCTAGGCCTGCCTCTCCTGCACTGCAGACCTCCAACCCGACCCATGGAGCCATTTACACTGCAGTCCAAGGCACCATCACCTAAAAATGTAGACCACTAGAGATCTAACTGATACATGTGGGAGAAACTGAGGATCAGAGAATGAAAGGCATTTGGCTGAGATCGCTCAGTGAAGTGTGAAAAATCAAGATTGGAACTCAGCCTGTCCCACTCGGGCCCTAGGAGCTTTCTACCTTCCCACATGCAGATGCGCTTTCACAGGGAGGGCCCCCGCACCCAGGCATGGGGCCACATTCCCAGGCACACGCTGCTCTCTTCATCTCAGAGACTTGGGACAAGCTGAAGTTTTCTCCCACTCTTATCCTTTGGGCTGTCTGCAGGGGATGTATAGCTCAGGAAAAGAGGGGAAGCATCCACCTCAAGTCACTGATGCTGTCCCTCCTCGTGGTAGCTGCTCACCCTCTTTTGACCAAAAAGGGTGAAGCACTGAGTGGCCTAACCTGCAAATCTCACACTTCTAAAATGGCAGCCTCTTGAGATTGTGTGGGACCCAGGGTTCCTCAAGGGTTCTGCAAGGGGCAGCATCCCTCTGTAGAACCAACATGATTCTCTAAGTTTGCTTGCCTGCCTGGCTTTTTTTTCTTATTGCAAAAAGGGTCAGAGTCATTGCCCTTTCCAGCTGCACATCCTGGGGCTCCATGACCTTAAGTAGGCAGCGCTGCCCATCATCTCCTACACTGTCCAATATAATAGCCAATATAATGTAATGGTCATCTACATTAATTAAATTAAATTACATGCTAGCCATATTTAAATGCTAAAGTCACATATGGCTAGTGGCCACTGCACTAGACAACAAAATATAGAACATTTCCATCATCGCAGAGGTTCTTCTGGACAGAGATGGATTCTGGTCAGCAATAATGATGAGGACTTGTGGTTGAGAGGTTCCTGAATAGGTGGAAAGGACAACTTGAAGAAACAGAAAAGGGCCCCTTTTCTGTAGGGACTTTTCTGGCTGAGGCAGTGAAAACTCTCCCACGGGACGGGTGACTACTGAGATCCCCATTGGTACACTCACCCCCAGCATGCATCTTTACCCAATGTCCCTTCTCCATCTGCTGTGTGGGGGGGTGTGTGTGTGTATAGGGGGATACTTGCCTGGGGGCTCCGTTTCGAGATGTGGCAGGGGCCGCAGAGTCTTTTCCAGGAGTCCAGGGGCTGGAAGCAGGGAGCTGGGCACAGGTGGGCCGCCAAGCTGACCTCTTGGTCGCAGCCGGATCTCCCTACTGCAGAATGGAGTGGGGGCGCAGGAAGAGCCTTCTCCTGGACCTCTCCGAGGAAGAGGCTCTAGTTGAGGTGGGAAGGAGGAAGCCACCTTGCTGCCTCGAGGTCGGGCGAGCAAGCCCTGGGTGGGGGTGGGGAAATCCTCATCCCCACTCCTACCCCCACCCCACCGCCTCGTCGCGGCCGGGGCTCCAAC